AAATATGTTTACACGGGTAGGAATTGTTTTATAAACGTATTAATAGGAAAGGATTTATTATCTTAAATTATTAATTGTTAGTTCAATTATATAATAATTGTTTCAATTTAAAAAAAAATAAACAATGCAAAAAAGATGTTCTATATTTACGAACATGATAATAGAAAATAATTTCTGGGAAATTCAGGAAAAGCAAGACCTAGATATTACGGTCTCTTGGTACGATTCCACTGATATGAACAAACTAGATATTATTACGAAAGACAATGTGCATGTAATATGAGCTACATGGCTGAACAATGAAATTTCTTTCAACTTGACATTTATTTGATCATATCGTGATAAGACACATATTAGCTTCAAAATGTATGTAAAAACAGAATTTATAAACAATTTAACATACAATGGCGAGATCTATTCATAGATAATTTAACCACAATAATGAGTGGAACCCACATTGGATACGGTTTGCATCCTAACAATAATATCGATGATATTCATTCACTCGATGATATTCATGAATGGGAATTAATGTTTTGACGAAGCATGGAACTTCGTACTAAATATAGAGCATAGCTCGCCCGGTTATGGATGGTAACTTGATTTTCGAATTAAAACCGATACTGAATGACGATTTACAAGGGGACAATATAAAACTAAAACCACGTAGATACACCAATCAATTTTGATCCTGTTTGTTATGCAATCAATTAAAATCACAAACAATAACACGATAAATACACACACGGTCGTCTTTTATCTTTGATGATTACAATTTCGATGTAACATGGTTTCTCTACTATCTGAATTTACTCGCACACCCGATGACATCGAAGCTCGTCGCGTGCGGAATCCCTTGCTCGTTTTCCATTATGCAGGATAATCGTTTGCAAACAAGAACGACCTTCATTCATTATTCAGTGCACACCTCATTAGTTCACAAACGATGATCGCGGTTGTGGCAGCAACGCAATTTTCTTCTTACGGCTCAGGAGATTAACGCTTTCATCCGATTTCTCGATCACATTCAATTATTGGGTACAATGAGCTCTTTTCCCCCTTTCGTAATTGTATGTAAATCGACATATTGTTGTCTATGTTGTAAAGATCTACATCCACTCTCATCATGATGACGATATTTTTTACTCAATTTGTGCTTTAAAACTGTAAAATTTACGATGGGTTCGTTTAGTCGATTTTTTAGAGAAAATTTACATGTGTACATTTAATTATATAACGACGTCACGGATGATTATTAACCGTTATTTATGTTATTTCGCTCGTCACTAAAATAAACAGACAGTTTGAGTATAAATTTCGTTCGGAGGTAAAGCTCGTCGCTGTACCTGAATAATGTTCCATTGTTACGGCTGTTCCACCCGAATTGGCAGAATTTAAATTTATTTATTTTCCCGCCCAACTTGTCAAATTGAAATTATAATATCCCCCAACCCGTTACAAAATTCGCCCGTACCTCGTACTTTCGCCACGGATTTATTTCATAAAACTGGTTCAGTTTTGTTCACTCGCCAATTGTAATTGGTAACTAGATTGCCAGGTTTTATAAATATTCATTGGATGTTCAGTTTTAAACAAAAATCGATAGTTAGCGTGGACAAAACCGTTCATATTAAAATTCTATTGTATGTTTTATATCAATTATTACAAAACGCGGGCGTTTCTAGAAATATCGAAGTAGCCATCTAAATGGTAACTAAATATTAAATTAGTTACTTACTTCTGGTTAATTTCTATTAATATTTATGAATTTCATCAACTCTAACAGTCTCAGAGCGGAGTTCGCATTTTCTTCTACAGCTCAACCCATTCCAAGACGGGGGGGTTATTAACATATTAAGTGGAAAATCGTGCGAACACTTTACCTCAGACTTGATTAATAACGTTCTTAATCGTGCTCTATTATCGTTTCTTATTTTTACATCACGTAGGTCCTTCTTACTTCCTTAATATGATTGATTAAAAAAAAACAATTATTTAAGAAAATATTGAACGTTAGAATTTATTTTATTTATAAGAATTTCGAGAAATAAAATTAGAGTTAATTTGTCATTTTCATTTCTCTCAGAACTAGTACTAAGATCGTCGAACAGAATATTTGTCATGATACAAAAATCTGTTTTTACTTATTATAACCTGATAAATAGGTCTATAAATGCTTTTTTAGTAACTAACCATAAGCTATGTAGATTCTCTTTATTTTCTCTGTAACAATCCAAACATTTCTGTGACACCAACTTCAGCACATATCCTGTTAGGATTCAGTCATATAAAATCACTGCTTTGTTTACTTGAATACTTAATTAGTCTAAATCTATAAGGATCCAATATAGATGATAATTTTTGCATTTCTGGGTAAGACATATTTTTTAAAGAACGAACTCAATCTGAATCATTCATAAGAGCACCGAAAAGCTTCTGATCTGTGAGAAGTCTCTTTATGTCCCACGTTTTCTTATTGGTGACATAATGAGAAAGTGCTCACAACAACACGAGACAATACATCATAACAATGTCTTACATAGATTTCATTGTTATATCCATGTGCGATTTGATAAAATAAACAAGAAGGTTTTCCTTTTCAAAAATCGGATATCACTTTTTTAATATCACTCTTTTAGCACCGTAGATCCGTTGTCATCGATGCAGATATCTTCTTCGATTGGTGGCGTAATATGACACCAGAACATGTCGAACGTGCTAATGTGATGACGATGACCGATGATTGATTACTGAATTCGAAAGTTTGTTCGAAACCCATTTATACAGTGACACAAACTGCTCTACGAGCTCTACGTTTCGAACTTACATCCATCCGAGTCATTTAACGTCCGCGTCTTGTGAAGCTCGATGAGTCTCTTAGAAATTATTAATGTGCCACATTTAGTGTATACTTCCGCAGTTCTATCCCAAATCCTCTTATCTTGTTTAGCGATGAGCACTTGTTTAGTTCCTATCAAAAGATGAAGGTAGTCAGTTTGTAATCGGTAAATATTATGAAAGATTACCTGATAAGTAAATCGCTTTCGGAGGTTCCGTACTGATATTCTACTATGCTCGTTTTTCTAAAAAAAGCATTTATGAAGTTAAGGATTTATTGTTCCAAAACAGCAACTTTACGTAATCTGAAGCGTTGCATGAGATTGCGAGTGAACTGGAATTGTTCAATACCTTCACTTTACTGATTCTCGAAGAAATCTTATTATGCAGGAATTTTGAGAAATCTTCCATGTGTAGTATAGAGTATATGTGAGGAACAGTTCTAGAATTCAGCGGAGAAGTTTTGCAGCGCATGTTATCATGGTAATTGCCCACGGCATCTCCATTCCTTACCTTTTAACTTTTGTGTCTTGACTGTCTGTGTGTGACGATGGTTATGAACGGTCTCTAGCAATTTGGAATGGTTCAGAAAAACAACACTAATTATAGGCTCAGAAAAATCAATCTTATTGAATTACTATGTGTAAATCTTAAAGAAGACTTAGATTTATGATAAGGGTTTGTAGGCATCAGAGTAAGATATCACAATGTTGGGGTTATTAATTATTTTCAGATCTCGTAGATTTACTCTATTCTCCCTCCCATTTGCTCATTGGTGTGCTGGCAAAGGCAAAAGAAACAGAAATCAGATGGCATAGAAAGCAAAAGAAATACAGGTACATTAGCCATACATGGATACTTGATTTGATACTAGATGATGACTAAACTAAAATTTCTCCGAGAACAAATTTGGAAGGATAAAGTACAACATTTCTATAGAAACTCAAAAAAACTTGCTCAGATTTAAAGAGAATTAACAGACTTACTTTTTCTCAATTCCGATTGGGAGTTATTGGTAATAAATATATTTGTGTTGATATTATTGGTCTATTATGGTCTCTTATAAAGACATTCTTGGTCGCCACGAGGTTCCTATTTGCTTCTACATCAACATCGGAAGCAATTTGACTGGAGTGAATTCTGTCCCACAAGAATCTGACGCACATTCTGAAAGTTCAAAGCTCCAGCGGCATTACAATTTTTGCGAATTATAAGAAGTCGATATTAAATCTAAGATGGATCCTAAAATTTAACTTCAGAAACGATTCTTTCTTCCGAAACATTTTTGATTGTAATTTCGGCTGAAATGGAAAAGATTTTATCTTTATTCAACCTAAAATGTATATAAAGTGTCCCAGATGGATTGAACTACAACTTTAATCCAACCGAAAACAAAACATTGCGTTTGTAAGAATTATTATTTTTTAATTCGTATTTTGTTTATTTCTACTTTAATTTTTTTCTACGCACAATGCGTGGTTTCAAATTCCATTATTTCATTCATTGTAGGCTTGGATGCCATTCGACAAGGCAAGCGATAATGTTCAAAAGAATAATTAAAAACATGCATTGAATCGTTAAAAAAACAAGACCTTTTATTTACGTTTTCACAAAAAATGTACGCTAAAAACTAGAACATTTTTCTTGTATTTTTAAACAGAATAAAACACGATTTTTTTAAGTTAATCGATTAAAATTGGTATTTTGGAGTTAGAGTTAGTATAAACATATATTTTAATTAATAACCGATAATATAAAAGCAACATTCATTAATGAAACAAAATATGATGCATTCGATCCAATAGTTCATAATTTGTTCGCAGAACCGTTGCGTAAAAAATAATGTATCGTTATATTATGTTTGTATTTATATAACATAATTTATTAATAAATGTTATTTTAAATTATTCATTCTTGGTGATTATTGTACCATAAATACTGTTGGTAAAACGCTATCGGCTACGTTGTTGAAATTAATACTTGGTTTTAAATTAATTTAAACAATTATTTTCTTTTAATAATAATTATACCTCACTCGTTTATACATTCGAAAATGTTTAATCATCGTATACATATTAACCTAATTCAGAAGATAATACTATTTATATTTATGAAATACCTTTCTATAGAGTTATTTATTAATTATTTGTATTATTTCTTAGGTTTTACTTCTTGAAGCTGGTCCAGAAGAACAAGATGTCATCGATGTTCCAGCTTTTGCTCCACTTTTACAAATGTCCAGTGTCGATTGGGGTTACACAACTCAGCCATCGCCGCATAGTTGTAGAGCTAGACCAAATGGTGGATGCCCGTGGGTTAGAGGAAGGGTAATGGGAGGATCATCATCGCTAAATTATTTGCTATACATGCGAGGTACACCGTTGGATTACGACGAATGGGCTGCGCAGGGAAATCCGGGGTGGGATTACAAAAGCGTACTTCCTTATTTCATTAAATCCGAAGATAATCGCAATATTGAAATAATTAGAGCAGGATATCACGGAATAGGTGGTTATCAAACGGTCGAACAATTTCCTTATAGAGATGCGAACGTAGAAATTGTTACGGAGGGATTTAGGGAATTAGGATTGGAAGAGATGGATTTGAACGCCGATAGACAAGTTGGAGTAATGATTGCTCAACATACTACAAGAGATGGTGAACGTTTAACGACGAACGGGGCATTTATAAGACCAATTAGAGGTAAAAGAAGGAATTTAACTGTAAGAATAAATTCTCAGGCTACAAGAATTCTAATAGATCCTGAATCTAAAATTGCGTATGGAGTAGAATACATAAGAAATGGAAAAGTAGAAACTGTATATGCTCGAAAAGAAGTTATTTTATCATCGGGATCATTAAATTCGCCAAAACTTCTTATGTTAAGTGGTGTTGGACCTTCTGAACATTTAAATACGTTAGGGATTAATGTTATTCAAGATTTATCAGTTGGATATAATCTTCATGATCACACAACGATCGATGGAGTTGTTTTTGCTTTAACAAACAAGACATCAACGGCAGTTGATGATCAGCAAATGCGCGAAGATGTGGAATATTACAGACAAACTCATAGAGGACCTTTATCAGCTACAGGACCTTTACAAGTTAACGCAATGGTTCAAACAAAATACGCATCAGAAACACGACCAGATATTCAATATTCTTTGGATGCCACGAATGTTAACAACTTTTTCACCGACCCAATTTTAACAGCAGAAACAACAATAACCCCGATTGCTTATTACGATGCGATGATGGTTAGACCAATTCTCTTAGCACCAAAATCACGTGGTGTTGTTATGTTAAATAATTCTGATCCAATATTTGGTCAACCGTTAATTTTCGCAAACACTTTTAAAGAAAGAGTTGATCTTTTGACGATAATCGAAGGAATCAAGCAAAGTTTAAACCTTTTACGAACAGAGTCATTTAGAAAAGCTGGGATTCAACTTGTAGCCCAACAACTTCCAGCTTGTAGGAACTACGAGTTTGGTACGGATTCTTATTGGGCTTGTATTGCCCAAGAATACACAACCACAATTTTCCATCCCGTTGGAACTTGCAAAATGGGACCGAAAAATGATAGAAGTGCTGTTGTCGATCCAAAATTAAGAGTTTATGGTATTGGTAACCTTAGAGTAATTGATGCTTCCATTATGCCGATTATTCCGAGAGGAAATACAAATGGCCCAACTATTATGATTGGCGAAAAAGGAAGTGATCTTATTAAGGATAGATGGCTAAAAACTGGGGATGTTATAGCCACTCAGGTTCAATACGCTGTTACTGAAACTTTAGATAAATTCCAAAAATGAAATTTTTTTGTTTGACGATATGGTGCTAAAATTTATGAATTAATTAAACATTACTAATAATTGAAAAATTATACTGTATATATTTGTAAATCGTTAAGAAATTAGCTTTAAAAGATTGATACCATGTTACTATATTAACGAATTAGCGTACGTCATTTTAAGTTTAATAAATTATTTTAAATAAAGAATCTTTTCTTTTAAAATTGAATGCAAAGAATATTCGCTCTATATATTTTACACATGTTAATTATTCCGAATTATTCAGCGTAACGAGAAATTATTTCGAAAATAATAAATACGTCGTGATTTCGAAAGTAGTTTTGCTTGAAATCTTATTAATAATCTGACCTTGTGATGGATTTGCTGTAAATTTGTGAGTTTTTTATTCTATATTTTGGCTTTCCCGGCATTGATCTTCGAACAGAAAATTTATAGGGGAATTAAAATGGGTACCGGCCGCATAACTTATTGAATATCGGACAGCTATTTCCGTTCCGAAATGTAGGTTGCGATTTATGGCGCATATACTCGTCCGTTTTTGACGTTGCCGACCGCAAACGCAAAACTTTATATTGGACTAGTTTAATGTTGATCTACGGCAACAGATTGCGCCCGTACACTTGCGATTCCAGCTAGCGTATGCATTTTAGGATTTGCTGGACGGTCGTGTATTGGGAATCGAAACTTTTTCAAAGATGGTTTCTGTATCGTGTTTTTAGTTATTTTACATAATAAACAAAGAAGATGTTTAATTGGGTTGATTTCTTGAACTATAAATAGATACTGAACCAGAATCATCAAAGCGTAAAATTCTGTTATGTTAAATAAAACGTAAAATAGATTCAGATCTTGTCGCTTTGAAAATACGATTACAAAAAGTAGTTTTTCGTTTATTGCTGTAAACCAGAACAAACGCTATGTTAAAAGATACAAATCAAATTGCGTGTTTTTGCTTCTGTTAAATTCTGTTAGGATTTCGGTGTCATAGTGTAAAGGACGTTGATAAACGTTGATAAAAAGCTAAGGAAGGTATCTGGAAAATTACCATTTGATTATACTAACAAAGAGACCGAATGATGAATCGGTTGAGACTGTAAAAAGATAATACGATAAAGAAAAGAATTCCCGGTTGTTTTGCAGCGGTGGGATTAATTACATTAATCGATTGCAGTTTGTTGGTGGAGGTATAAGGTAGTTACAAGAATGTTGGTTGGGAGAAACTTTGGCAAACGCCGATGTGTAGATGGCGAGACATAGGTGCTGCATCGGTTGGTAATTTATCAAAGTAACAGTTTGGTTGTTCGTCCTGTGCAAGTTTGGCATCAGGCCGCTAAACGAGAAACCGAAGCGAGAACGAACTAATTTGTACCGTCTCTGAAATTGATATTGTTCAACGTGAAATTAGCCGCTATCGCGACCGCAGCGCTATCTGGAAGTGAACGGTTCGAAATTAGTTCGTTTTACGTCAAGCAAAGAACTGTTTTGCTACTTCCGCCTACTTTCACAACGATAGATATTTTCGTTTAATAATTTTATCAATAATATATCAATATCTAAAATATATTTGTGCTATCAATTAAATAACGCTTTTCATGATTCCTTCATTTATTTTTATAATAAAAGTTAACCCTGATTAAATCTGGATCGTTTCGTGACAATACAATGCATACTGAAGCTAGAACGCTGCAGCATGCATCTTGAAATTTCACTGAAGTCTTGATCTCGAGCTACTTCAACTGCGGTATCAATATCGTTATTAACCTTACTCGAGCATCAGATTCGTCAAAATTCTGAAAACCAGGAAATTACTGGCACACTTTTGCTACCTCTTTTACACTTCGAAGCGTTTCTGCTTCATTTCGTTCTCTTCTTTGCTGTCAGGGCAAAGGTTGGCGGCCAGTTTGTAGGACGTTGTAGGAAGTCTACATAGCATTTGATTTTTGTGCATTCTCCTCTTCAATTTTTCAATGGCACCTTTTAAGTTTCTTTGAACTTATCCCAATTTCATCACAGTTGCAAGTGTCTTCTCTACCAAAGCTGCTATTACATACAAAACTCAACATTTTATCCGGAAATATTCTGCGGAAGAACTGTATTAAGATAAACCCTTTCCTTTGAGTAGTCAGGTGCTTTAAAGTGCTGAAATTAAAGAAAATTTAAAATAAAGTAAACTACAAATATACGGCATCTTCTAGTCTTTACTGTCTTTTGCAGTCCCTGTTGTTTTCTTTGTTTGGCTCCATCATCTGAATGTAACTTGGTCGCAAAATTCATAATCTACCCTTTCTTTTTTTGACGTCCGATATTGTAGCTTTCTCCACTTTGTACATTTTCACAAAGTGAGATTCACTTCCAGATGATGCCGTGCTTTCCAGCTGTCAGAACTAATACAAGCTGGAGTAGCCCTGTAGTAATCTATGGATCTGAAACATGGACACTCAATAATTTTCACCAAGAGTTCTTAAACAGGTTTAAATGAAAGATCTTATATGGGCTAAATTATGATACAAACCTAGAGACAATTAATGAACTACAAGATAAGAGAACTACAGGAAGGACCAAAACGTGTGGAGAATGCCGGCAGAGAGAGTGGATTAAGAGGAATTGTAATGTTAGTGAGGATTTGAGCGCCCTGCAGGTGCAAAAACTGAGGCAATTTAACCCAAAGTCGAAACGAATGGAAACGTGTTGTAGAGGAGGCCAAGACACACAATGTTCTGCAGAGAAATAGTGTGCGTGTGATCCACTTTCACCCTTCTTGAGTCCTTTTCAATCGTGTGAAATGTATGTTAATAAAAACAACACACCCTTAGAGTTGGAACAAAAACGTATCCTGTTACGTTACGCGAAAACTTTTAAAGCAGCGTAGAGCAACTAGTTCTAATGGGCATGTGAATAGGTTGTTTTTGAAGCGAATAAAAAAATATCTTTGACGATATCAATTAAGTGAAACAAACGGAATTACTTTACTGTTTCAACCTGCTTTGTGTATTGCATGTCCATTACGAAAATAAACATACCCACCGACTTTCCACTTCGTGGAATCATAAATTCTTAATGAATTAGGTGTCTGTGGTGTTGTGGAAGTTATAAAACGAAATCACGAGTGTCTTTTTAGACATGCAAAATTTCTCAATGGCTTAAAAAGTTAGAACTTCTTGTACACTTGTAGTAAGATATATCAAAGAACCGAATCAATTAAACATTTCAATTCTGTGGATAACACCTTATTTTTCACGAGACCGTCTTCAAATCGCATTGACAAATGTAAGTTTTTTAGAATTGATTTTAAATAATGTGTTTTTAATCATCGAAAACATTAGAATTATCGATTATCAGTTTGCGTAGCATCGGTTGAAAGTCGGCATGTTTATTGGGAAAGTGGATTGATATCAGATGCATTTGACGATTTATAATTTCTTAAAGAGAGCACAGTTTCTAATTTTAAAAAATCACGTTAATGTATTGTATCTTACTGATACGTTCAATTAACTGTATCTAAGTGTATTGTTAATGAGATTTTGCGTATATTCTCCAATATGGCAGGACAGTCCATGCATCTCATAAATTTAACAAACAACATAAACCCAATCCGTGTATTTCCTCACTATGCTAATCGAGCTGATGAAATTTGCCAGCTCACTTCCATGTGAATTCCAACATCCTCCTCTGAGCAAAAGCCGTTTGTACCCTCAACCCTCTCGGAGTTGAACTGCAATACTTGATATCCTACCTACACTAGCGACGGTTTCAAATTTTCGTATTGACTATCACAGTGAACATCGAATACGATCGTCCTATTGGTATTTGTTGAAGGTATCAAATTTTTAAATTTAAACGCTTTCATAAATTTAAAAACCAATGATAATAACAAAGATTGTTAAAATGATAAAGTGAACTTTTGCTATAAAAACTTTTTATCTTGAATTAAATATTATGACGTTAAAAACTGATAAATCAAAACTTTGTTGCGTCTATTCATAACAATGACCCACATTCAAGTGATTTAACGTAGCGTGTCGTATATTTTCGCAATTTCTATTTTAATTACAAAACACATTGCAAGTCTTAAGTTAACACTGACTGTCGGCTTGTTGAGTGATCGTTCTTGCTCTAAGAATATAATTAAAAAAAAATTAAACATAAAAGATACAACTAGAAAAAAAAATAATAAAAATGATTGTATTAATATCAGCTAGCATGTACGATACTGGAACTTAAAAGATAAGCTATTCACCAAAAGATATTCTATTGTAACACCTTTGCCCTTAACAGAGACTCCGGCACTCTAGAGGAATGTAAATTTCAGTTGGGCCACATCGCATGTAGATTTATTCCTTTTTGTGTACCTCTCCAAGTTCTAAGACGATCTCTCAAAAGACAGTTCTATATTGCGGTCTTTATACGGTGCTCTTTTCGACGCCAAACCTGCAGATTCGACGATGTTCAGTCATTCCGCCGGCAGCAATTTTCAATTCAATCTACCGCGAGTGTATTTTGGTAGAAATACATCATGATTTGCTTAAGTAAACGTTGATAAAGATCAATGAAAATGATATAGTACTGTGAAATTTCTTTGAAATATATTTTATAAGTTTACAAGTTAATATTTATGGCGAAAGAAATAGATTAAGAAAATAATCTCTTTATGAACATCTATTTTACAACCGACGCGGCGTTTGGAAGACGTTTTTGTTCGCAACATTCAACACGTGGTATCGTCTCACGAGTCTCAACGAACATTTGTTAACTCTAATTTTGCTAGGATTAGTTAAGTTAATACGAGAGCTACAATCGTAACAATAACGCCGGGATCTCGCGTGTAGGTCCTAGAGCCAAGTGATTTGAATTAATTTAAAGTTACCCGGATTCGGCGAATGACCGCATTGCCGAAATTTAAATTTGGCTATGGTACGCTTTAATTAAGCGAAACATGTTGAAAATAAAACTGTTTTGAATTTACATTTATAGAATCATTTATAAAATCAATTCCTAAATATTCTAAACTTTTCTTTTCTATCACTATCTTAAAGTAGATTTCAATAAATAAATTTCAAGTTTGTCTGACCGGTGGGTTAATCTATAGCCAGTTCCAATCAAGTGGAATGGATAACGTCGAGGTGAGCTGATCGTTTGACAAGGGCAAGTGTAAACCCGCCAGGTTGCTATAAATCTGAACGGG